TATATATATATATATATATATATATATATATATATATATATATATATATATATATATAATATTATTATAATATAATATTATTATAATATAATGTTTGTTGCACTTTTGAAAAATGATAACGAGTGACACAAATTCTACCCTGTTCATTTATTTTCCCATACTTCACCCCCAGCCCCTCGCTTCCAAATCTCAAAGTTTTCCAAAGAATTTCACAGTTCACCAGGCAGTTCTCTGACTAAAGTGTGCTTCGAAAGGAGATCAGCCACTTCGTTACCGACTAAGATTGTAATGACAGCGACCATGAATTTACGGATAGCTCTATATGCCTAGAGCTATAACTCACACATTGTAATGTACATAGTATGTAGAGCAAATCAGGCACCAGTTCAGCGATGTGTGTGTGTGTGTGTGTGTGTGTGTGTGTGTGTGTGTGTGTGTGTGTGTGTGTGTGTGTGTGTGTTTGAGTGTGTATTTTTTGTGTGTGTTTATTTGAGTGTGTATTTATTGTGTGTGTGTGTGTGTGTGTGTGTGTGTGTGTGTGTGTGTGTGTGTGTGTGTGTGTTTGAGTGTGCGTGCGTGTGTGGAGGAGGGGTGCTTGTTGCTGTGCCCGACTTTTTTTGTGTTTTTGTTCTTTTGCTTGTTTGTGGGTTGTTTCATTTATTTATTTATCTATTCATTTAGTTAGTTAGTTTGTTTGTTAGTTACATGTAGTTAGTTAGCTAATTAGTGAGATAGTCATTTAGTTAGTTAGTTTGTTATTTTTGCTACTGTTGTTTTAGTTTTAGTTTAGGGGGGAACGAGGGGCGGGGGTGTTGCGGGTATAGAATAAGCTGCGAGGTGAAAAACGAACAAATCGAGAAAAGAGATACTTGGTACGACAGTGGATGTGCTTTATCCGGGAATCGAAAATCGGGAAAGAGTACGCAGCTCAGCAGGATGCTTACGGTACCGAGTCAGCAACGTCCCATTTTGTTATTAGAATGTTTCTCTGACAACACAAAATTTTATCGGAATAAAACCCTATCGGCTCAATCAAACAGCCCCCTAAAGGACCGAACGGTGTCAATAGCGCTTGGGTGGCTGGGGTTGGCGGGTGCTCTGCTCCTTCATTCTTATCAAACGTCTATCGTCCT